TCCTGGGCTGGTGGAGGAGCGAGAGAGCGACTGAGAGAGGAACGAGGCAGACACCTGAGGGATGAGGCTGAGGGAGGCAGGGCTGAGAGGCGGGGCTTCTCAGCCATCCTGCAGGGACTTGTCCTGAGCCTCCCTGCACTTGGTGGTTTGCTGGCAGACGTTTTATTACCCGACTAGGTAACAACATCTAGCAATGAAGCATCTGCAAGCAAACCACCAAACTCGGAGTCCTCCCCCTCCCCCCTCCTTGAAAAAGTGTCTCCCCCCCCTCCCCCCCGCCAGTCCTTGAAAAAGTGTTTCTACGTGAAACTGGTCCCTGGTACAAAAAAAGGTTGGGGACCACTGCTCTAATTAGTAAAAGAAAGTATTTCAAATGAACATTCAACCCCTGGATATTTAAAAGACCCCTTGGAGCCTTTTACAGATCCTACTTAACATCTGGCCATTTCAGAAATATTCTTGGTTAAATGTTTATTATGAATGCAGCTGTATGATTCAAAATGCATTCCAAATTGGATGACATTATTCTGATGCTTATAAACACATACCAATCTTTTTATTTATTTTTTCAAGCTTTTACTTTTTCTACCCTTGACTACAACACATTTTCTGAAAGCAGGCAGATTAGTTGTTTCTGTGATTACAAAACTTCAGTGCTGTGATGCTAATAACCATAAAATAATGGTACAAATCTCTATAAAGTTCTCCTTCCAGAACTCAGAAGGAAACTTATCTATTACTCTGTGTATACTATGCATAACAGAACTCTCACAGTACTATAATATGTGGCAGTGATGCAAAGAGAGTTTTAAAATATTAATGATTTGAAACAGGTATAGAATTCTCCTGTATAAGCACAGAGAATATTTCTCGATCACTAGAAAAGGGAGCATGAACCTTATGTATACACATAAAGTACACTATATACACTATTCCCTTTTAGGATTTTAGGATTACTAACATTAAGTAGAGAACAGAAGAGGAATAAAAGCTGTAAGAAAAGAAAAGTTAAAGGTATGAGACAAGACGAATCTAGCTAAATCTAGATCATATTAACACCTGCTCATGGTTATCATCTTTATGAATCATCCATACACTGCTTCATATATTGCCTTTTATTATTTAAAGTTTTCATCCCTCTCTTTTTGATTATCCCAATCCTTGGTCTTCCCCTTTCTCTTCACCCTTATATATCCTAGGTAGTATACCCACTCCTTAAGAAGCTATCCTTGGACCAACTGTATTGGAAAACACATGATCTATTCTCTAACCTCTTTTTATGGAAGATTGTTGAGATAGAAATTGGTTTCAGCTGTAGAGATACCTGGATAAAAAATCTGAACCCTTTTCAATCTGGGTTCAAGCTAGGGTATCATATGGAAGAACATTGGTTGTGATTGTGGATGGTCTTCGGACAGCTTGAGATGGAGATGGTGCATCTGACCTGGATGTCTTAGCAGCTTTCAGTAGCATTAACAATGGTATCTTTCTGGACTGACTACAGAAAATGTCAAAGGCCCTTTTCTGCAGCGGTTCTCCTCCTTCCCCTGTGGCCACTACCAATTGGTAGAACGAGGAGTCAGCCCTATGCAGAATGTTGCCTTAGGCTTTGGGCTTCTCACCACTCCTTGTTAATATTTACATGAAATTGCTCACTAAAATCATAAAATAGTACAGAGTTAGGTATAATCAGTATTCAGATGATACCTACTCCTGGCAGGGCAAATGTTACAATTCCAGGGTTTATCCAGTACCTGGAGGCTGTGGGGTCTGGGTCAAAAGGAACTGGCTCTAACTAAACTCTAACAAACAAAAATGGTTTGGGGTTTAGCTCTTGGGCTGGCTGACATTTTATCTTTGACTCTCTTGATAGCTTTTCCCCATAGACAGCTGGTGCATAATCTGACATCTATGACTTGGATAGTAAGGTTCAGTCCTGTGCGATTTTCTTTAGCTGTTTGATTTAGTACCTGTTTTTTCTTATTTTTTTCTTATTTTTTTATTTCTTTCATTGTTTTATTATTATATATATGGTACCGCTGTTAGATGCCCAGAATTGTATTACAAGATGGACAACCATATTAATTATTTTCCATAAATGAGCAGATTTGTTTTGTAATTGATCCTTATTTATTCTTTTCTGTTACCAGATCTCCAGCACCTGTTTCATACTAGTCATTCATTTTTGTATTTAGTCCACATTCATTCAGCATTACAGACCCTATCTCTTCTTCTTTTACTATACACACTTCCTAAGCAACTCATCCCAACCGCATTTGCCAAATTCTCACTTTCCTATAATAAAGTTGGAAGAAATATATGCTTACACACAACTACTTGCATTTATTCCAATAAATATCTATTCCTTTCAATAGACCAATTACTATCCACTACATTTCTATTTCTATTTGTTTTAGCTTTCTGCCATTTATGTATAATGTTTAGTTGTTCGTTTAATTTCCTGGGTCAAATAAAACTGCTTTTATCTATGATAGATTTTTAGATCCATACACTTGTAGCATAATAGTCACTACAAATCATTCAGCTTATCAAATAATACCATGAAATTAATTACATATTGAGTAAATAAATAGGCTTGTTTACAAACACCTATGATATATCCACCAACATTTTTTTCATCACTATATTAAACAATGAAAAAGACATCATACAGCCTTATCTTACTTCCTGTTCCATATTGAGCCACTTTCTAAACATTTCAGTGATTCTCAGAAATATTCAGTTATCAACCTTCATAACTAAACACAATTCAAACATTTATTTACATAATCATATATTCTAAATCAACAATCAAAAGTCTTTTTCACATTCATACATTTCTCAATAAGCTGACAAACAGCAACATTCCAATGCATCATAATGTCATTCTTTTGTGAGGTAGAAGCACATTCTTCACACATATGTAAAAGAAGTCACACCGCTATTCCTTAAACAAATTGGATCAATACATTAATTTTTCTCTAGATATAGCATCAATATTTCTAGTCTTTTCAACTTACAACAGTTCTGACTTGCTTTTCATAATTTTTTTGTGGGGACACTATCATTTATAGCATTTGTTTACAAAGTTGATCTTTGTAATTTATGAAGCCCAACAAAACAATATAGAAAGGCAGGTAAGATCTGAAAACCATTATTATACATTCATTAATTTTTAGGAGTGATTACCTTATATAGTACAGGGTAATAATGGTGGACAGATGAAGAAAAGAAATATATATATAAAAAACTTGGGATGGAGACATTTAATTCCACTTCATGCCACAAAATAATTTGGGATTATAGTGTTGACTTTGACTTTGAAGCTGTGCTAAGAATTAATATTGCCCTAAATAAAAAATATTTTGTCCCTTCGTACTACTTAGAACTATAATAAGTGAATAATAATTAAAAGACCCACAGTAAATACCTTCCACACAACTTTAGAGCATTTTTTTAAAGCAATAGGAAAAAGTTAACACTTGGTTTCTCAATACATGCAAACTTTTAGGAAATACTTTTAAGTTTCCTTTAAGCAACCTGTCCATAGTGGAAGGTTTAAGAGATTTGCAGAAGTATTATTCAGCACAGCAGACAGGCACTACAAGATCATGCTTGGCTTTTCATAATATGACCAGAAGCTTTAGAAAGTGTAGATAATATAACTCATTTCCAAAATGAGCTCTTTTTTTAAAAAAGGAACTTCGATCAAAATGAATAATAGAATATATAGGCAGTCATAGAATTTTAAGTTCTGAATTGTATAAAAACTGCATATGCTTCAAGGAAAACAGAGGTAAGAACTTCATTTGAAAAATTGTTATTAGATCATCAGATTCTACATTTAAAAAAATTGTAAAATGTTTACTTTGAGCTGTACATTATAAGTTTATTGAAAAAACTAATCTGTGTGATATAGCAAAAGCAATATACCTGTTCACTTCGATACCCCCTCTTGTTTGAGGTGGGTGTTAAATAATACTTTCCCAGGAAATTAAAACTTCAGAGCAAGATAACCAGTCTTTTTATAATTAAATTGTCAGTTAATATAAAACTATATAAATTAAAGTAGATTTGAGGTGACCTTGGTCATTTTTAAAAAGTAAGGTTGACTTGCCTTACTGCGGTCAACAGATGCAAGGCTAAAACTCTAAAAAACAATTTCTTAGTTCATATTCCCTTTTTCAGAAGTGAATTATTTTATGTGGGATGGCTACATATTAATATTAGGATAGCTATACATTTAATTATGAGCAAACATCTTAGAGAAATCAGTCCTATTTGTGAATCTATTAGAAAACAGAAAAAGGTTGAAGTAAAATATTAACTGAAATCAATTATGATGCTATGCAATCCTTTCTTTAATAATGTAACTTGTCTTATACTACAGTTCCCTTCTCCAAGTTCTATACAGGTTTCACAATTCATAATGAGAAATTTGCCTGGAAATGTATAGAACTGAAATCCTAAGAAATCCAGTGGGCAACTTTTGGGAGAAAGTTTCAAGTAATAGAAAAATATGTCAAGAATATTAAACAGAAAATTCCAAAATTCTGTCTCTTTCTAACCATTTTTTAAAAAAATCATTTACTGCTTTCTTCTTACTGTAAGGTCAATTGATAAACAAGGATGGAATAAAAGTATCCATAGCAGAACACAGGAATAGGTGTATCAAATGCCAGACATAAATATTTCTGTTATATCTTAGAAACAATTTATTTGTAAGAACACACATTAAAACAGGTAAGTGTATGTACATACAAAATATAGGTATTAGGAAAATACATATAAAATGTGTTAGTAAAGACTCAGCAAAATGTATAAAAATGTCAGTAATAGGAAATTGTTACTGAAAACATATAAAATGTTTTGTGTGGAAGTGCCTATATGCTATATCTGAATATAATTCTTAACATTCAGGTGTGTTGTGATTGATTTTATTAATTCCAATTCCCAGAGCTGTAGATCCAGTACATCTGAAAGATATCAGACTGGTGAAGGATTATTGCATGAAGGTTAGTTGGAATATAAAGCAAAGTTGTTACTACTAACCTGAAAAGATCTCCAAATTTGCTTCTAAGATGGCTACAGGATCCATAGAGATCATACAGATAGGCTAAAATACACCTTTCAGGAGAAGAGCATTCTGATGGATTGACTATGTGTTTGACAACACCACATAATCTATAGAAAGATAAATTCATTATTAAAAATTAGAAGTCAGTCATAGTACTGTCCTTTCACATGATTTAAAACTATGGAATTGAATACGGTCTTAAAAACTACTATGACTTTCCAAAACAAGGAATAATATTTATATTTAATTCTAGAAATACAGTTGTGTACAAAACAGATGAAGAATCTGCAATTTATGTGTCTGGAGCTATCTATGACCCTCTATTGTAAAGCCTTTTCAAAGGTTGCCAGCAAATTATAACTGTAAACGTGATGATAGGGTAAATAATCAAGTGCATGGGAAGTAATGAAATCAAGTGTATATCATTACTTAATAATTATTATATAACTCAACTTTAGATTTATATTGGCTTGTTGGAACTTAACTCTAAAGCTAGATACAACCTTAGCCTAAAACAAGGTTCTGTATACCCAGCATAGTTATGTTATGGATCTGTCTATATTACAAATGTTTTAATAATCTCTAAGCCAGGGGTGTCAAACTCACATACTCACAATGGTGTCACGTGACATATCGGAACTTTTTTCCCCTTTGCTAAACTGGGCGTGGATGTGGCCAGTGCATGACATATCTAGCCTGGGAATTTGACAGCCCTGCTCTAAGCTATAATAGCTGATAAGCAAATCAATCAACTCAGAAACCCATAATACACAGTCTCTTCAATAAATTTAGTTAAGACTAATCTGATAACTAAAAAGAATATCTATATCTATCTATATCTTTTGATTTTATCTATCTATCTATATATTATTTTTAAGACTAATAAAAAGTAATAAAAGTAACATTTATAGAATCACAAAAATGAATTCAAATATATAAAACCAAGAATTCATATATGTGGAAATGTATTCTGTCCAAAACATTGTAAATGTATCTATTAAACTAGAATTCAGATATTCCTTCTCAGATCACTGCCTATCTTGGAAGAAGTCATTAGCTGAGAGATAAGGCTATCTCAGGCACTTTAAAATCTATTAGATTAAGAAAACAATGAGTATTTGAATCTAATTCTATTAAGTTTCTGTCTTTCTGATTACATGAAGGGGTTAAATTTCCCATTGAACTCTCAAATAATACTGCATCCTAATTACAAACTGACCATACTAACATTATAAAACTAAGTAGTGTTTGAAAAACTACTACAAACCCTTCAAAAACCTGAGCAGTTTGATCTGGATTCAAAATGAGGCAAGCATGATAATGCCTTAGCACAGCTACAATGCAAACACACAGTCCAGTTGTGTAATTTCCTGCCAGGCTGGATGACTTCAGTAGTAGTTCAGCTTCCACCACACTCAGCTCATTCAGCAGCTAAAATAAAAGGTTAAATATCGCTTTAGGATTCCTCTCTAAATCTAAATTCCACAGAATTGCATTGTAGTTGTTTGTCATTGCTGAACTATTTAAATAGATATAGAGTAGTTTCACAGAGCGAAAAATCTGGCTTCCTAATCAAATCCTAATCAAAAGGTACCCACGGCACACTAATTTGATCACATCCACTAAAGGAAGTGTGCTGGCCTTCTTTTATATATAGTTGTATACGTAATTTATTTAGAATATTACCTCAACCAAGAACAACAAAGACTTAATTATTGATCTAAATGACATGTTCAAGAAACCACAGCTGAAGCCATTCATATAACATGGATTTATATGGATCTATATTATTGTGTGTTTTAGATATTCCCATTATCACTTGGGAGTCAGAAAGCATCATCACACTGATTTGACATTCCTGCACTGATATTCATTGCTTATAATTTAGAAGGCCATAATTCTGGCTTCCTGTGATATACAAATGCTCATACAATGTTGCAATCCCTTTTCCTTCAAAGAGATGCATTAAAAATGTAATAGATTTTGAACAGGAATATCAATACCCTCAGGCGAGTCAGTAATTTACAAGGATCTTCCCTCAGCTGAGAAGACTTTGACTTTTCTTTCAAAGTTCTATATCTGGAACAAACTTCTATTTATTCTCTTTCAAAAAATATTTCCTAATCATTAAAGTATGTAAAAGTGAAGTGAATCTAAAATACTTCAACTCTAAGAAACAAATTCTAGATTTAGGTATTTCTTAGCATGAAAAATTGTATTACTGGAGTTGGATAGAGCCTAGTATTGTAATTATTACTCTTAAACACTATACAGTTTCCTGGCTTCAGGAGCGAAAACCATTTGAAAGGTACTAGAAACCTTGCCTTATTTTAGCTGAGAATGGAAATAAGCTATCATGCCATTGAAATGCATGCACACTGGCATTTGCAAATTTATTGCTAAAGTCACTATCACAATACCACTGGCATTCACAGGAAGAGGCAAAAAAAAAAGCCCACTACATTAGTATGTGGTTGATGTCACATGAACATGCAAAGTGGAGGACTTCAATCATGCTGCTGCAACAACTATTATCTTGCCTTTTTGGATCCCACTCTCTCCCCATGGACACAGGTACCTAGGGCTATAGTGTCTGAAGCTGACCAGCTGAATTTGGAATGAATACTTTTCTTCTATCTTTTAACATCTAATTATTTTACAAGATCCTAATGTGGTTAATGTAGAATAAAATTCTGCTGATTGGGAAGTGGACATTCTATGGATCATGAAATATCTTGCATTTATTCCTTTAAAACTGGCTAGGAGCACAGGAGGAGAGAGAGAGAGACTTCCATATTAATAAAATGGGATGATGGAATTTACCAAGTTTCTATCCAATTGTTGAAAGTATTGTTTTAAATATTTTGTACTTCTCTTAAAAGGTCTTAAAGTTGGAATAAAATAATTTAAATAAAGATGTATATATAAATTTCATTTCAGGTACCTGAACAGCAAAGTCAATAAGTCCATTAATATTTAAAGCAGGTTCCATTAGATCAAAGATAAATTCTATGTGATGAGCTAGTGGAAGATGATATGATGTTCCTGATGCAAAACTAGTAATCTGCTCCAGAACATTGTTGGAGATCTGTTTAAAAACAAACAGACCCATTAGCAAAGTGAAGCATTGTGGGAACCAGTATAGCAAAGAATTAGCAAGCACACGTACACATAACTGTAAGGAGTGGGATGCAGGTATAAAGTTAGAGAAATTAATTCAGACCTTCAAATTGTAGCCCAAGGTGAAACTGAACCTCTACAAAAAGTCTGTATCTTAAAATTAGGGTTCATGAATGAGTTGATGTTTTGAACCTCTGGAAAAAGATGGATGCTGGATGCATTAAAAAGAAATCTATTTCTACAGTGTATATTTTAATGGATTCTGTTTATTGATGAAATGACTTCCAGATAATATCACATGATATAATAAACTTTCTTGGAGAAAATATGAAACTGCAGGACATAACACTTATTTCCACAGAATTATTTCATAGGAAATAGAAATGTATACTTTCATCTAAATAATTCAAATGACAATCAGATTGATATAATGGTTAAAAGCACTGGGCTAAAAAAATAAAGCACTGTAGATTTTAGTTCTGCTTCATGGAGAAAACCAGCTGTGATCTAGGGGCAGTGACTCTCTCTTTGCCCTAGGAAGTAGGGAATAACAAACCAGTTCTGAAAATTGTTGCAAAGAAAACTGCAGGTCCTTCTCTAGAACAGGGATCGCCAACCTTTTGGACTTCAGGGACCACCAAACTCATAATTTTAAATCCCATGGACCACTAATATGAATTTTGAATGATGGTGGCTTGCTGACATTGGTGGGAAAGTTGGCCCCATATTCCAGAGCTGCAGTAATCACAGGACTGGCCCTTTGGTCATCCCGGAGCACCTCTTCCAGTCCATGGCAGGCTGGTGCATCTGGGTGGAGGAGCAGCTGCTCCAAGATGATCAAAGGGTCAGTCCGTGAGTACTGAATTTCTGGAATATGGGACCGACTTTCCCACCAATGTCAGCAAGCCACCCTGGGGCAGATTCCCCTCCACACATCAATGGTCTTACCTTCCAGTTCCAGCTCACATAGCTCTACTCAAGGCAAGGTTTGCACTCGTCCAAAGTGTGGGAGCCAGTGGATGGGTGGGCCATGTGAGTGGCACAGTCTTGTGATCCCATACAGATTGGATTAATTGCTTTTTGGGGGTGCTTTGGGTGGACATTTCTCTGCAGACCACCAAAATTTTCTTGCAAAACAACAGTGGTCTGCGGCCCACTGATTGGTGACCACTGCTCTAAAATGTCACTAAGAGCCAAGACTCAAAATCATACATATATGCATGAAAAAATACATATTGTAGTTGTGAGCATTCTGCTTGAAAGGGATATCACTTGGCAAGTTCAGTTATGCAAATATTCAATGTTTTGTGGTCATTTTATTATGATTGTATTGCTTGATAAGCTATTATGAGAAAGGGGGAAACAGACTAAAAGTTAGGCCTACTCTTTAGAAGTCCCCAATATTTTGGTATACTTTCCTCCCAAGAAGGTTCTGGACCCTGGTCATTCAGCTGCTGCTATTTGTTTTTTAATATACTGTATTTTAATGAGGTTGGGAGATGGGAGTTTTATTCTATGTTATAGGAGATTTGAATATATATTTTCAACCCTGCCTGGAGTTGTATGATAAATCAATCTAGATAGATAGATAGATAGATAGATAGATAGATAGATAGATAGATAGATAGATAGATATAGATATAGATAGATAATCCATTGCAGTATATGATGGACATAAGGAAACTGTTAAATTTTAAAGTTTATCTATAAATCAAAATGCTTGCAGTAGGTGGGAAATGGTCATTTATATTTAGAAAAGTCATCTAAATGATGAGCACACAATAGTCGTATTCTAAAAAAGTAACGTTATTTCCAAAGTAACAAAATAATTCTAATCAAGTCTCTGAAATTAAACAGATTTCTTCCTACAGATCATATTATTATTACTTCAAATTTTCAAATAAAGCTAAACTCCTGGTGATTTAATGAATACATGTATACATTTTCCTAACATAATATAGAAGTGATTTGCCATAATTCATGGGTTTACTTCTTACAAATCCAAAAAGTAGGAGTCTACTTTTACTTCACATTTGTGTGAAATTTTTTCTTGCTGTAAGTAAAAACATGAGTACAAATGTTACCTAATTCTATCTACCCAAAACAATAATAATTAATGACTTTATTAAAAAGCAGATTTTAAAGTTAAAGTTAACCTGCAAACTCCTACATTCTTGGTCTGCAATTAGAAATTCATTCATCATTCCTTGTAATTTTGTAACATTCCTGCATAATTGCTAACTCAGTTGTCATCCTATGTGCTTTTCTCATGGCATTTAGTGGAAAACATGAATCTTAACTCACATGAAGTTTAACAATGGCATCTTCCAAATTTAAGCAGTTTCTTCTTCCAGCCTGCCATACTTTCCTCAAGTTAAGTTTTGCAGTCAGTACAAAATTTCACTTTCCATCTTTTGTCCAAAAAGACAGAAATGTACCAGCACTGGCATTCTTCCTAGCTCAACCCCAGAACAGTTTTAAACTCTTTTAATTTGTTTCAACATCACCATAAAGATTTTATGTGGTGAGAATGTCTGATTTACACTCTATTGCATTTCTGAAATACAATTAACATATTACAGAAATAGCTTGCAATGCTGCTATATCTCTTTTCTTTTGTGTTTGGCATCAAAGCAAACACCTCCAGCTATTCACGAAACATGCAAGCTATGGCTAATTTTCTAGTGATGATTATAATATGAATCAAGACTCTAAGTTCCTAACAACTGTGATTTAAAATGACATAGGAAAACGCCATTTAAAGTATTCTAAATGAACTAATGATTAAATGTGATTCAAAAGTTAGTAAGTTTAGTAAGTTAGTCTGGAATGTTTTCTTTTTTACTATCCACTCATCTAAAATCCACTTTCCAGCATCTTCTTATAGTCCAATCCTTTTTGTATACCCAGAAACACACACACACACATTTGCTTTCATAAATTTAGCCCTGTTGTACTCATCTAGCAGTTCATCTAGTGATTTTTTTCTCTCCACAACTTCCACTTTATACTGTATGTATTTTATATTTCACTCTAAATTCAATGCAATTTCTGTCATCAATGGCAGCATAGAAGTACCTGACTTGTCACTTGATGCTGGTCAAAGTATGAGAGCTGCTGAAGTTTTGTAAATACAGTCTCTAAAGTTGGAAATGCCTCTTGCCTGTTCTTCCGGATTTTTTGACCTTCGTCACCACCTAAAACATATATTTGTTATGCTTTGTAGTAAATAAAAGTCATATATTATGTAAAAAGCAAATTTTATTTTCTTTTTTTTTTAAAATCTCTATTTAAATATATTTCAGAAGAATATTCAAGAAGATGAAATTACATTGCAATCTGGTGTGGAAAACCCTCCACTTCTTTTAAAAAAACCATGTGTTTCAATTTACAATCTTACAAAGTTCGTATCAGTTCATATTGGTGCAAGCTACTTATAATTGCTTTACATGTTATGCTTCACAGCAGTCTTAAAACAGTTATTCTCAAAAGCATAATTGTCATTAAAAACTTGCGAACTTTATTAAGATGCCCCTTCTCAACCCACAACTGTGCTATTCTATGCACTGCAAAATAAGCATCAACAGCTAGTTAATTACCACTCATTTCAGAAGTGCTTTTCTTATTTAGGATTTTCAGAATATCTCGGGTAATCTTCTTCAGTTGATGCCTGGCCTCTTCACGTTCCTTTCCAACTCCATAAAGAAGTATCATGCGCTGGTTATATTCATGACTTGATGATTCATCCTTTTAGTCAGAAAAGAAACAAAAGGTATTGACAAATAAATAAAGTACGGTCGCTTCTCTAATGAATTATTACAAAAGAGTATTTCTGTGTGGCTTTTCTACGAAGAACAAACTGTCTGGGAATTATGGAAGTAAGCTCCATCTGCAGTACTAAAATAGCAAACCAGACCCTTTCCTAAAAGTAATTACTGTAACTACTTTAAAATAGCTATTATATTGGATTTGACATTATTTCAGTAATGGAAGTTCTGATCCACTGAATACTTTAATGAAAGGCAGGAGAAAGACGTAATTTTAAACAAGTTCCTTATTTTCCTTAGAACAGTGGTCCCAACCTTTCTGGCTTCATAGACTGGGAGTGGTGGCAGCAGCACTGGTGTGGGTAGGGACCGGATGATTTTGTTCTTGTAACCTAATCCTGTGATATGTGCAAGTGGATGTTTGCACGCTCATCCACCATCTTTCATGGCCTGGTTCCCAATAGGCTGTGTACTGGTATTGGGCCATGGACTAGGGGTTAAGACCCTGCCCTAGAACATTCCCAAAATCTTCAGGATGCTTCAACCAATGTAGAAGACCACAATGAAAGAGGAAATCAACCAAAAATGCTCAGGGCAAAGGTACAAATCCAGCACCATCACTATTAAATACACAAGTAAATCTTTATGTTCAGTTCATGCATATTAAAACCAATGAAGAGTATAATATAGTAAGGCATGCAATCTGCTACTGATGATAGAACAGAAGCGAGGAAGGCACAGGTTCTAGTCCTTCGTTAAGCATAGGAGCCAGATGGGTTATTTTTGGTTGTACAAGAAAGTAATGGAAAAGCATTTCTGAAATCTTTCCAAGAAAACTGCATAGATCTGTCCATGAAGTCACCAGGACTCAGGATTGAATATGAGGAGAGAAGGGGAGGGGAGGAGAGGACAAGCTTCAAAAATATCATGAACACAAAAGTGAAGACCTCTATGTATAGAAGCAGTAGTCTTTAAATACTATTTCAAAGAAAATAACTATTTAGAAAAAAATCCTGCATTGAACATTTTGTGAACCCAACCTGGGGCTACTCTTAATCTGATTGGGAGGGTTCTTCAGAATGTATATATTTCATATATTTCATCATAAAGCTTCCTATGTACAACTTCCAACAATCCCAACCAACATAATAATGGTCGGCCATGCACAAATTTTCTTCATTTCAATTAAAATTTGAAAATTCATCTTGATAATAATATAATATATATATAAAATATTAGTAGATCATTTGCAGGGTTTACAAATTGGCACAACAGATTATATCCTAAAACAAGGCTTTACAATAATAAAAGATGCACAAAGAATACAGTATTGAATCCATTCTGAAAAGTGGTACTCTTATCTTTTACTAATCAGAAAGCCACTCATTTCATTAATGTAGTTGAGCTACCCAGCATAGTTCCTGCCAAAAAGCTTTTAAATTATATTATGGTGAGTATTTTTGGTTGTTTTTCAGATGAATTGTTTAATTTGATTTGCATCAAAAGATTAGTGCCAGACTCTGCTAGCTTATATGAGCTGCTCTTCTAGTTGAGTCTAAAGGAATAATGAGACTGGGCTACTAAATTATTTTCTTAATCAGAAAACCTTCTATTATGATATGCAGGACAGCAAATGTAGAAAGTTGAAACCCCCCATCGGGTTTCTAATTGATTATATTCCAGCTGTTTAAAGGAAAAAAAGTAAAATTAAGCCCTTTACTTCCCAAAATGCTCTGACTCACTCAGTTCTATCACTTCTGTTTTTCAAGAAAGATCTGCTGGTAGAGTTTGCTATATAAGCTTATTTTGGAGCAAACAATCAATCCAAAATAAAAGAGAGAGGAAAACAGATTAGGAAATCCTTGTTTCCAAGGAAGATAACTTTCCAACGAAGGACAATCCAGATACTTAAGGTAATTTCATATCTTCCATTGTAATTTTAGTATGCATTTCCATTCTGTTCAATAGATGTTTTTGTATGATTTGCAGAAGCAAACAGTTCAGTATATACATTTTAATCTTTTAAAACACTCAGATTATTGATGTTTCGTTTTGTTTTGCTGCAATTCTGTAATGTTGAAAGTAAAATCCTAGCTACAACAGACATTTCTGCTGTTCTGAAGTCCAACAACAATTCACTCTACATCTTCTTTGAGTAAACACATTTTACTTGAGTTTATTTTGGACAAGACATATAAAACCGGAGGTTTCAAACATGTACTTAAGATGCATCTTAAATGTAAACATGTCTTAAATATGAGTGTTTGAAATAAATGGAAAAACAGCATTCACATGTATTTGTGTATGTCCAGTTACACTTGCATTAACTAACTTTTCCTATCAAAGTAAAGTATACAAAACAGCTGGAAAAAATTTCTTAAGCTGACCAAAATCTGTTTGTTTTGGTTTTATGGGAGAGATGCAGCATTAGGATTCTTATTAAATATTGCAATCATAATTTCTTTATTTTTTGACTATACTGACATTCCTTCAAGTTAATTATATTGTTCTTCCATGTGAGTGCATTACTTTCTGAGTGACAGATTTATAACAATAAAACTGGTTGAAGTTTTTCATTTAGTATCTGTTATGTGGATTCTTGAAACAGAATGTATTTTATATGCTTATCCTCTAGATAAACCTAGGTGTAAACCTAAGATGCCAATTATTTATTTGCAAGGTCTTCTTGAACTTTGCAATTCCTAAACATACAGATTGTTTTCAGCAATGCCTTTCCCAAACTAATGCTTCCCATGTGGCTTGGATTTTCAGTTCCTAGAATTCATAACAAGCATGGCTGAGTCCTGGCTGGCATTTCTGGTAGCTGCACCTCGAATCATTTGAAGGACATCGTTTCAGGACAGGTCTGCTGCTCACATAGTGATCCGATCATCACTTTGAAAAACCGTTTTATAACCATAAGTTCTATATGAAAAAGTATTCATGCTGTTACTTGTATTCAGAGAGGATTTTAAAACACTGGATTGAAGCATTAATTAAAATAGCTGACATTTATGACTGATGCACTTGTTTTGTTTTGGTAGAAAGCAATTAAACTGCAATGGGACTAGACTATAGCCCTCCTGAAAACAGCAGCAACTGCACCAAAGACAGCAAGATGAATCAAGTTCTCTTTCCTTTGTTATATACTATTATCTTCTTTATTGGTATAATCATGAATGGCTTGGCCATGGGAGTTTTTTTCCAGATCCCCAGCAAATCGAATTTCATTGTCTTTCTCAAGAACATAGTGATTTCTGACATTCTGATGGTATTAACCTTTCCATTCAAAATTCTCAGTGATGCAAAACTGACTTCCTGGAAATTGAGAGGGTTTGTTTGCAAGGTGACCCAGGTCACATTTTACTTCACCATGTACATCAGCATTATTTTTTTTGGACTTATAACAATTGATCGATATTTGAAGACTATCAAACCTTTCAAATCATCAAGAATTAACAAAGCATCAGGAGCCAAGATTTTGTCTGTAATTATCTGGGTTTTCATGTTTTCTGTTTCCCTCCCAAACATGATTTTGACAGACAAGAAGCCAACATATGAGAATGTGAAGAAATGTGCTGACCTAAAATCTTCCTTTGGACTACTATGGCATGAAATTGTTACATATATTTGCCAGTTTATTTTCTGGATTAATTTTGTTGTCATAGTTGTATGCTACATACTCATTAGCCAGGAACTGTACAAGTCCTACAAAAGAACAAGACGTTTGGGAAAGGCAAACAAGAAGACTGTGAATATCAAGATTTTCATAATTATTGGTGTGTTTTTTGTCTGCTTTGTTCCTTTCCATTTTGCTAGAATTCCTTATACTCTGAGCCAAACCAGAGATGGTTTTCTGTGTTCAACCCAGAATATTTTGTTTTACATAAAAGAGACCACTTTGTGGTTGACTTCCTTGAATGCATGCTTAGACCCATTCATTTATTTTGCCCTCTGCAAATCATTTAGAAAGTCTCTTTTAAATAATTTGTACAAATGTTTAAGGAAAACAAGAGAGGTTCATAGTAAAGAAACTACAGATGAGGAGACACCAATGTAGATAAACAAGAAATCCAGCCAAATATAGTTTGTATCACTCTGAGGCAAGTTATATTTTCTATTAGAAATTCGTCATTCTTGGTTTTAGATAAATCAGGAATCACACATAGCCCATGATACCAACAACCAACTACAGAATTATCACTGCTACATTTTCTTTTAATATCACAGCTACAAAGATTGATTCACACTAAGAAAAAATTAACTGGACAGTAACAAAAATTCTGAAAAAGGCTCTTTAGAGGAAGGCAGGGAGCACTAAGTATACAAAAAAAATAAAAGACTATTAAGAAGTCCAGTAATAGTGATAAGTAGACATCACTCAGAAATCCTATAGATTTAGAAAGAAAAAGGTGTTTCAAAATCTTCAACCCAGAAATTGCTATTAGTAATTTTACATCTTTTTAAGGTCTAGTTCCCAGACACTCTAATAATCAATACCTTCAACTCCCTTTACCTTCAGAAAGACAAAACTATTTATGCATCAATAAATTTATGCATCAATTTTTTTTCAAAGAACCTTGGGGCCCTTGTTTCTGGAATAATTGGAAGTCTGCCTTTCTTGGATTACTTATGTAAACTTTACCAAGCAATATATAACTTGGAAGTTTGTTTAATTAACAAAACTAAACAATGCTGGCAGTTATTCATCACAAATAATTTTCCCCCAGATTGTGGAAAAGAAGCACCTAGTTTTGTTTATAACAATCTACTACCACAAGTATTTAAGAACACAGAATAAGCATTACTATAAGCATTACTTTATAATATTATGTTATAAGGCCATACCATTGTTTTTTACATTAGAATAAGATTTTATTTGCTGAATATTGTTGTCTGATTATGAACTGTACCATCAAATTGATGATATTTAGTGACCACGTAGATTTTTTTCCAGGATTTTGTATCAATAAACATCTTATAAATCATTGAGTGCCTTCAAAAAATAATTTAAGAAATAAAATAATGTCCTATACAATTTATCTTTGTTAAATGGTGTAATATTTGGAGGAGGGGATACCTGCATAACAGAAAATATGCCTTTGAAAGAAAGAAAAAAATATCTGCTTAGTAAGCCTTTTTCTAAATTGCTTTCTTAAGATAAATAAATGCCTTCAAGTTCCTCAATTTCATTTTTTAAATATATAAATTAATTATAATTTTGGTATGGATAACAAACAATATAACAAACAATATAAAACTGAATTTTACTGAGATGAAAATCAATGCTAGCTAATTACTGAAAAAAACTGTGAAGTAGTAAATTGTAAGTAAGACAATCGTGGCAAACTACAATTGCAAAAGTCACAAGCACCAAATCTCAAGTCACAGTATGAAGCTGATTTAGAAATCTTGCATAATATGTTTGCATGATGGGCAATTATTTCATCAAATTCACAAATTACTAGAGAACAGTTTGGACCATTGTTTTGCTTGAAGAAATTGCTAGGATAATGGTAGAGGAATTAGGGAATTAAATAAATGGGAAATGAAAGCAGTTCTCGGTTGTGGTTTATATATTTAAAAAAAACATCCAAAAGAAAATAAGACACAAGTGGAACCAATTAAAAAACAGACATGAAAACCTAATCACAATATGATAGATGTCAAAGTTTGAAGCTCGATGTCAGCTAAGCAGTCCTAACTCTGGTTGTAATCCACCTTATTTGAATAGAAATATTGGTATAAACAAACATCTGGACAAGTTCATTTAGGGTGAAACATATTGCAAGGACACAGTAGTTGTTTTCTAACCTGAATAATACATGCATTATAATATATGTTGCTTGATCTGTAAGTACTGAAATACCTATTTCATTGATTAATATGCAAAGGAAACATAGTTTCACTTTTATCAAGAAGAAACTGAAATGCAAAATCTTTGCAAAAACATCAATTAAAGAAAACATTAGGAGAATTATTACATTTAATATCCCCCTTAGTAAATTCTTCAAAAATCCTAATGAATACAACTCAGTCATTCACTAAAGACTTGTTCATCATGCTAGATACTGTATTTGTATCCACTCAATGCACAATAGTTCTGTTTAGTCTAAATGTTGTACCTAATTTTCTTTCATTGATGCTGTGGGACAGAGGTTATCTTCACTATCTGCTTTAATTTGACCATGCTTTCATCTGTCCCACAATGGCTTACAAATTTAAAAATCTCATAAAAATACAGTGGTACTCAAATGCTTTGAAACTTATTGAATTTGTTACTCAATGCATTTTGATGCAAAAAAATTTTCCCAGTACTTATCATTTGTTTGGTACCCATGAACAAGGTAGAACATGTCAATGCTAGTTGGCTTGTGACTCACTACATTATTCCTTATGGGAAAAATTCGTTTGGTACCCGTCATTTTTGGTACTAATGACACCTCCTAGAACCAATTAATGGTGACAATTGAAAATGTACTTCAGTCATCACTACATCTCTTTCTTCTATCCAGAATACTGAAAGTCCAGAACAGGACTTTCACTTTCTGGATCTAGTCAATGAAAATAATATTTTCTAGAGTGCCACCAACACTTCCACTTATTTCCATAAACATTTTTACATGACCTAGAAAGAAAACTTGGTCACTGTCATTTTGTAAATAACTTCAGTCGGAGGTATTTTGATGGAAACATTTATTATCTTCTGTCATGCAAAATAAGAATCTTTGTACAGAACTGAAAAAAATAAAGGCAAGCAGAAAAGAATAATAAGAAAATTGAGTCTCTCTGTGTACATTAACCATTACAACTGTATGGAATACAAACTGCCACTCAACATCCACTGCACTACAGACTTCTTACATTATTTGGAATTCTCAAAACTACTAATTAAAAATAATAATTGAAAACACAGACATACACATACAGTTGATATTATCCTGCAATTTTTTTCTTATTTCCGTATTTTCTACCCATGTTATCAGTTTTTCCCAGCATCCTTTTTTTGGTTTGTTAAGTTTAGCCAAACTCATTTCCATGTTTCATGCAAACTGTGTTCCTTTTTCTGTAAAGCTTTGTATTAAATAAGATAGCTCCCAATATTTGGTATGTGAATATTTTTCTTGAGATTTGTAGCCTTTGATCTAGATAGGGGGAAGTGGGGAGGGTGTTTTGGAGAGAGAGAAGCCAGGCTTATGAAAAATGAGGAACAAACCTGCAGCAAAACTGCTTACGAAACTAAGTTTTTATGTTCTACATTTTCAAGTCTAATGCCAGTCCAGTACTTCTTCACAAAGAGGTAAGCAATTTTATTCTTGGCTTATGGATCACTAACATCAATATTATTATTATCAAGCTACAGAGAGAAATACCTGAGGTCATAAAATTTTTCAGAGTTTTCAAATGTATTATTTCCATATGAAATATTTCATTAATTTTAGCCATGTTACTTATTTGGAATGCGATTTAACATCTCTTGTGAGATTTTTCAGTTGAGAAAATACTAATAGACTGCTGGTCAGTCCATATGTGAACTACTTCTACATACAATTCAGTAAGATTTCAAGGAAAGGCATTTCTTATAATTTGGACAAAATCAGGATTAGTTGGCTAAATCATATTTATTATTTATTCTTATTTTACTTCTTCAGGGAATTGAAGGGAATTTATAGTGTTCTCTGTTCACTTATGGTGACAACAGTCCCAACTGGATAGGTTAGGGAGAGAGGATGTGGAAGAAAATAAAGAATGTGACAATTTTAAGGCCACCCAAGAAATCAATAACTCTGCTCCAAAGAAGACATCTGGTGTGAAGCACAGAGCAGAATCTTTGTCTTTTTACAAAAGAGGAAGTTTCTTAAAGTACTTATGTCATACTTGGAACACAGTAAAAATCCAAAAGCAAGTAATAAAACACAATACTGAGCTATCTAAGCTGACCAATTTAATCATCTAATTTACTGTTTGAAGTAGGAATATGATACAAACCCAACTAATCCAAGAACTTCAATCCCACTGACTTTCCACAGAAAAAAATGCTGCTGTTTATAAAAGACTATATAGCCAGATGTGAAAGAGACATTACATTCACCATTTAATGTTAACCCATTTTTTGACTCACATATAACATTGAACTTGAACTAATTGTAAAGGCTGGGTTCCCATAACACACTAATTCATAGGGAAAACTAACCAAATTTTTAACCAACAACTGTATCCTATCATATACATAATGAACACAGCACATGAATGCAGCACAGTGTTCTTCAGGAGGTTACTGTTTAGAGAAAAGGCACAGATCCTGCTCTCTGCTTCAGATGGATTGCTTTTCCAGCAATCTTGAACCTTCTCAGAATGGAATTTACAAATATGTACAACAAAATCTCAGAAATCACTTATAAAGAAGGAAAGGTTGCATTCAGAAATGGAATGGAATTGTTTTATTGCTTTTGTTTTCCTTAGTCTTTCACTGACTCTACCTGAACTTTAAAGTGTATGTTTAACACAAAAAATTATATTTGTATCACAAATGCATGCCTGTATTTTTTGGGGGGTGGGGGACTATGGGTTAAGAAATATGGCAAACACATTTTTCTCCTTCCAATTTGGCATGTGTGTAACATTAGCAGCTGTCCAAATGTATGCGTGCAGTTTCCATCCTGTCTTTTGTTAAAGTGAATTCATTAAGTTGGATTACCACAATTTCCACCAAAACCTTTGGCTTTTTAACTTCCTTTTCCAGGAAACAAAAACAGCCAAACAAAATGTGCAGCCAGTTCATTTCTTCAGCCAAACTGCTGGCTCTGAGCTTTAAGCAGTTTTCCAGCTCAGAGAACTACCTAACTGGAAGAATGTCTCTTTCCACAAGAACTTAACCTAAACTCCGGGATTTTCTTGTGCACCTTTTTTTTCAAGGTCTCTGCCAAATGAAACCCAGCATATAATCATAAGTGAAAAGGCCTTTCCAGCATTACTTTTATGCTTTTTTAAACTGGTGAGTAATTTTTTAATTATTATTTTTTGTATCTTAAGTAATCTATTTTCTATTCCTGGAGTTGAATGTATATGTTAGTCTGTAAGTAATGTTAGTCAAAGAAATAATGTTAATTGCTTTGCTTTCTATGGTTCTGGAATATCTGTAGGGAAAAAACTCAGATCATTTTTCCCATGTGAGCAAATTCACCCATCCTTCTATTTTGCACCAAAGTGTAGAACCAGGTTCACACAATTCTTAACCACATAGAAAACTTAACCTCTTTTCTATATATGAAAAATCCCAAATGATGTAATGTCATATATGCTATCAAAATATATGTCATAATATTGCTATCGGGAATCCAAAATGGTTCTATTTTGTTGTAAAGTCTAGATGCTTTCCAGTCTTCTTACTTTTGGACTTTTTTTTATGCGTACTTACTTTCTATAAATATTATTTTCCCCAGATTCCTGCTTAAACCATGAATAGAAGTATCAATACTTCCAACTGGACACCCCTCTCTGGGCAATGCCCCCGAGATACCAGGACATCTCATGTTGTATTTCCAATTTTGTACAGCATTCTTTTCCTTGTGGGATTTCTACTGAATAGCGTGGCTGTAGTTGCTTTTTTCCAGATTCCAACCACTTCAAGTTTCATTGTGTATCTTAAGAACACCGTGGTCTCCGATTCCATCATGACTCTCATGCTACCTTTCAAGATTCTAACGGACTCAGAACTAGGATTCTGGCAGCTTAAAGCATTTGTTTGTCGTTTTTCAGCTGTAATATTTTACCAGACCATGTACATAAGTATTGTGCTGCTTGGGCTTATTTCCTTAGATAGGTTTCTCAAGATCATTCAGCCCTTTGGGAAGTTCTGGTTGCATAAGATCACTTCAGCTAAAGTGGTTTCATGGTCTGTCTGGTTCTTCTTCATCATCCTCTCCCTGCCCAATGTGATTTTGACAGACCGCGAGACAACATCTCTCTCAGTGAGGAAGTGTGCTTCATTGAAAAGTGACTTGGGAAAGAAATGGCATGCAGCTGTCAATTACATCTGTCAAATTGTCTTCTATACTGTGCTGATTTTGATGCTCCTATTTTATGTAATTATTGCTAAAAAGATTTATAGCTCTTATAAAAGAACCAAGATAGCAGACTGTAAAATTAAACAAAGAGCCAAAAGTAAGGTGTTTATAATTGTAACGGTTTTTTTCATCTGTTTTGCCCCTTTTCATTTTGTTCGGGTACCTTATACTCTTAGCCAAAGTGGGCAGAATATGAGTTGTGCTAAACAGAATCAATTATTCATAGCCAAAGAAAGCACTCTCTGGTTAGCTACTGCAAATATATGTATGGATCCATTAATATATGTGTTCTTATGCCGTAAATTTATAGAAAAAGCATTTTGTTTTAAATTTAAAAATTCCAGGTATATAATTCAAGAAAGTGCAACCCTGGCATTGGATACTGGAATATCTACATAGATGTTCTCTGTAGATGCAAGTTATTAATAGAAAAAGATTAAATAATGTTCCTCTATGCTTGGCTAATATGTCATTGTATCTTAATTACTTGAGTTATGTATTTTCTTATGTGGGAAAATAGAACTATGCTTGTTATCTGCAGTATTTCAGAAGGAAGATCACAGTACATTTCTTTGAGGAACATTTTTTTCTTAAATTGAAAAATAGAGACTAGCTTTGTTTAGTGCCATACTTTGCTCCACAACAGAATACAGATCTCTACTCCAAAGCTTTGGCTTTAGACTGTGTACTTTCTTTGGCCATTTTGGTTACTATCAATTCATTCATATTAAATGGTATTTTGACTGGGATTTTTTTTGATGTAATCATTTTGGTAGCAGATAAATATTTCAGTATTCTCTCAAGCTTTAAAAAAATAATTTTCCTATTCTCTATTAGTACATATTGCATACATCTTATGATATTATATAAACCAGCTAGAGAATGGTATGAACTGAATAAATTTTGAAAAAATATACATATTCTGATTCTTCTCAATTCTATTTTGGAAACAATCTGCATGTATTTCTGCTATCACCCAAGATGTGCCTAGTTGGTAATATTGCATTTCTAAATTGGTTATGATTTTAATCTTTAATGTTGCAATGAACTTGATTCAGATTACATAAAAGGTTATATTTACCTATACCAATGAGTCCCAATGTTATTTTTCTTGAGAAAAGTCCTTTTGACTTGCTACAAGCATTCCTGACCCTTCAGGTTATGCATACAACATGAGGGCTTTTTTTTTTCAATAATCACCCTCCAATTTGGAATGAGTTTCCACTGGATCTTTGTAAAGCTCTTTTCTCCCCCTCCCTTTCATTGAATAGTATTTTTAAGAGGTTGCTTTTAGTCATCATAATTCCCCTTTATTATTTATACTGATTTTATCTGTTTTATTATACTTTTTAATGCTATGTACAAAGCCATGAAGTAGTTCAAGCTTTTAGATGAAGCCTAAAGAAATGTCTAGAAACCAGTAATTACAAACTGATGCAAATCCATTTCTTTATTTCCATAAAGATTGCTGAAAGAAAGTCTAATAATTATCATCATTATATGCATTTTTAATAAGTGATCAGATAGCTAACAAATTATAATTATTGGGTTTTTTTCTATTACAAATAAATCTGCTTTAAACAATATAGAATGCATAATTTTGACATAAATAAGTATTATATCTGGCCTACTTATTACCGTAAATTTTCTGTTTAATAGAGATTACAAATATTCAATAAGCAAAAAAACATAGACCTATAAAATTATATAACAGCAGTACCATTACTACTCCAAAAATTCTTAATAAAGTCTATGTAGGTGGGAATTTGGGGTTTAATGTAATATAACTGCTATTTTACTGAAAAATGCAGTGTGTAAACTGTATTAAAGGTAATCCTCAATTTACAACCAAACTGACCCTGGAATTATGGTCATAAATCATTGCAGCTATAAATTGAAGCACCAAGTGACCAACTTCAAAATTACAGCTGCATTTTTAATAATGGTCATTAAATGAAATGCTGCAGTCATTTTCTCCAATGCATTTTTTGCTGGAAACTTTGAAATAAATGCTGGAAATCGGCCAAAAATGTTGCAAATTGTGGCCAGGTGACTGCAAGATGTTGTAAATGGTTATAAAGGTTAACTGATTGCCGAACATCTAGAATATAATCATGTGACCACGGAGGATATGACTGTTGTAATTGCAAGAATGACTGGTAAGGAGGAGGTCCATTGTAGCTTAGAATGATTCTACTGGTTGTTTTTTTACTGGAAAATGAAAAAGCTGACTTCAAATGAGGGAACAGATTAAAAGGACAGCAGATATAAAAAAAATAACAGAGCTAGACCTTGGAGACCTTCTAGACCAATCCCCTGCTCAAGCAGGATACTCTATACCATTCCAGACAAATTATTATCCAATCTCTTCTTTAAAATGTGCAGTGATGGAGCAACTGCAACTACTGAAGGCAAGCTATTCCAGGGATTAATTGTTCTGTTAGGAAATACTTCCTTATCTCTAGGTTGGCTCTTTCCTTGCTTAGTTTCCATCCATTTGTCCTGCCTTCAGTGCTTTGAAGAATGCATTGGCTCCCTCTTCTTCATGGCAGCCCCTCAAATATTGGAACACTGCTATCATAGGATAGGATAGGATAGGATAGGATAGGATAGGATAGGATAGGACAGGACAGAACAGAATATAATTCTTTATTGGCAAAATGTGATTAGACACACAAGGAATTTGTCTTTGGTGCATAAGCTCTCAGTGTACATAAAGAAAAAATAAAAATAAAAAATAAAATAAATTCATCAAGAATCATAAGAATCATCCTTAGGTGTTTTTTTTCATTAGACTAGACATACCCAATTCTTGCAGCCATTCTTCATATGTTTTAGTCTCCAGTCTTCTTAGTCATCTTTATTATACTTCTCTGCATTCTTTCTAGAGCAGAGTTTCCCAATATTTCTGGCGTTGTGAAATGGCAGTGGGAGGGAGGGAGAGAGAATGGATCTGTGCCAACAGCCCAGAAGTGGGCCATGACCCACGGTTTGGGGAATCTCAACATCTTTTTGTATAGCAACCAAAACTGGATGCAATATTCCAAGTGTGGTCTTACCAAGGCATACCATTAGAATGCTAACTTTTGACATCTCCAAACCAGATCCATAATCATCAGAAGATGGTAAGCATGTGTTCACAAGTGTTAATAGCCTTTTCCAATTCTCTCAATATGACATCTGAAGATTAACCCTTCAGAAATATAACTCTAATACATTACTGAGTTATTCTGTACTTCTGTTTCAGGCCATCTTATATTTAAGTACTTTGTAGTGTACTATGCATTTTGAAAGAAGCCTTTGTGAAAAAGTCTTTACTATGTTTTCCAGATTTTCTGCAAGAATTTCTAGATCTTCAAAACTATGGAGAACTTTGCAGTATATTTAAAATATAGCACAATGTGTTTTATAATTATATAATATTTATGCAGTATGTATTTTATAAAAAAGCTGAACTTTTGCTTTCTAATTTTCTAATTAGAAATATAATTTTCAAATACATTTGTTAGTATTTGCTTCCTCCATTTTGCACTGCATTTGATACTTTCAATGAATTGGGTAACTTAATATGTGCATCTAATCTTTTCAGATCAAAACATATATGCTCCTATTTGGTGAATTCTGCTTAGTAATATACTGTACTTGGCATAATATTAAACAAGTGGTACCTTGCACATTAAGCCAAAATCTATGGTCATGTTCTACAGACGTAAGCAGCTGCAATTTAGAATGAGGTCTCCATTATCGGAGATCCTAATGAGTGAAAATTAAGGACAGTTAGTGTTATGTCCCTGGAACTTACCAAAGTCCCCACCCAGGTCTGTTCATGCTGCGGGGGCGTTTGCTGCCCCTCATTGGCTGGCCTCCCTCGACAGCCGGCTATAAAAGCCGGCTGCAGGGTCCGGCCAGCCGCTGTTCGTTGTGAGCCTGCTCCAGGCAAGGCTAACACGTTCAGTCCTTTATTGCTCCAATAAAGTCTTGTTGCATCCATGCCCTGGTCTAGCCTCTCATTGCTCAACTACAACACTGGCGACGAGGATGGGATGGCTACCAGAGGCAACCCGCAACAGCTGAAATCACTAAAATCGCTGAACCGCAGCCGCGCCGTTGGAGAGCTCGGTCAGCAAGAGCGAAAGTAATAAGCGTCTGTAGCCGCTTGGTTAGCAAGCTACAGGCGAAAGTGGAGCGCTGCGAGCCGCAGCCGCTCAACACGAAAGAGCGCGAAATTCAAACGGCTGTCGTTTGAATTTCTTGACGGAATACAGCGCGGTGCTGTTATTCCGAGTCACTGACGCCTACACAGGCACGAATTTTAAAGCGCTATCAGAGGCGGCTAGCCATTACCACCTACGCTCCCCAGGAGCGTGAAATTCAAAGCGCTGCCAACAGCCATTGCAGCCTTACCACATTGTTAGCCCAGAGAGAGAGAGCAGAGAGGTTCTGTGGAGCCTCTCCAGAGCTGTAATCACTAACCTATCAAGAGCACAAAGTGCCATTTTGTTGTCCCAGAGAGATTTCACAGCAGCCTAACCAGCAGAAGTCCTCATCATGAACTCCAACCCAGCTTTCCCACCGTTCAAGCCGGATGAAGAAAAATGGGAGTCATACAAAAATCGTTTTAATCACTATATCGATGCCATTGGTCTGGCTGATGCTGGGGAGCACAGAAAAAAGTCATTCTTCCTCAGTTATTGCGGAGCCATCGTTTTTGATACTGCCACAGCACTCGTTGCACCACGTGAGTTAAAGAATGTCCCCTGGGCAGAATTGCTAGAGATCCTCACCAATCATTACTTCCCCAAACCCTCACAAATCGCGAGGCGTTTCACCTTCCGGATGAGGAAGCAAGCGGAAAAGGAAACCGTCAACCAGTATATGGCCGCCTTGAGGACTGCAGCCCTTCATTGCGGGTTCGGGAACTATCTTGATGACATGCTCCTCGACCAGCTCGTCTGCGGGGTCAAAGACCTTCACCTCCAAAGGCGACTACTCGCCAAGAAGGACCTCAACCTCTCCCAGGCCATCGAGGAAGCCTTGGCAGCAGAACTGGCAACACAGTCAGCCACCGAAATTCAAGGTCCCGTTCCCAAACAAAGCTGTGCCACCGTTCATTCAGAAGAGGTAGTCAACGAAGATGATCCCAACGATCAAACAGACATCCACCGTCTCGCTCATGCCAAACAACCACAGGCAGGAACCAGGCAAGAAGGCATCAGCACACCCAAACACATCACCCTGTGCCTATCCTGTGGCGGACCTCACTCGAGAGCTTCGTGCAAATTCAAGGGTGCCATCTGCAACAATTGCCACAAAAAGGGCCACATCGCCAGAGTCTGCCAGGCCGGGCACAACTCAGCACAAAAGGTTCCTCCTTTTTCCCATTCTGGGCCACAAAGGCAAGTTCTAAATTGTCACACTTGCTACCATGCTAACCACACCTGTCACTCTATTAGTAAAATAACACTCTCCATTTTATTAGAAGGTAAACCTTGTCGTATGGAGGTTGACACGGGGTCAGCGCTCTCAATCATCTCTTGGAGCACCCTCAAGAAAATCCAGCCCAGACTATCCAGAAACCAGCTCCAGAAGTGCCAGATCACCTTGAGGGATTATCAGGGAAAGGACATTCCAGTACTCGGCAAAGGCAAGTTCCTTGTTAATTTTAAAGCTTTCAAAGGCCACCTGCCTCTAGTGGGAGTTAACGGCAACCTCCCTAGTCTTCTGGGGCTTGATTGGTTCCCCTACCTCGGCCTAGGGTTAACAGGAGTCCATGCTGTCTCAGCTTCTGACACTGACTCCTTATTCACTGA